AGCATAATTCTCTGCAGATTCATCCCGGTCATTGTGTATATCAATGGTCATGTCTTTTTATTGCTGAGTAGTATTCCATGGTATTTGTTGTTATTTGCTGTTGAGTCAGTTCAACTCCTAGTGATCCTGTATACAGCAGAGCAGAACACTACCCAGTCTTTTTGTGCCATCCTCTCACCTTCCAGCGCTATATCAGACAATACTCCAATGCTATTCATAGGGTTTTCATGGCCAATGTTTTTCGGAAGTGGGTGGCCAGGTCGTTTTTCCTTGTCTGTCTTAGTCTGGAAGCTCCGCTGACAGCTCTCCACCATGGGCGACCCTACTGGTATTTGAAATACCGGTGGCATAGCTTTTAGCATCACAGCCACCACAGTATGACAACTGACAGATGGGTGATGTGGTTCCCTAACTGGGAAACAAACCCAGGCTGCAGTGGTGAGAGTGCAGAATCTTAACCACTAGACCACCAGGGCTGGCCAGTCCATGGTGTACATGTACCAGTTTGTTTAACAATTCATGCATTGAAGGATTTCTGGGTTATTTCCAGTTTTTGGCAATTATAAATAAAGCTACTGATTGGAAAGTGTGAATCCTCCAACTTTGTTCTTCTCTTCCAATATTGTTTTGAGGTTGTCATATGATTTTTATTCTTTTGCCTTAATATGGTACATAATGTGGATTCACCTTGAATATTGAACCAGCCTTGCACCTACAAGCCTTGCACAACTTGATCATAGTGTATAATTCTTCTCATAAATTGCTAAAACTTTATTCTGGATTTTTGTGTATGCATGAGAAATATTAGTGTGTACATTTCTTTTTTTGCAAAGTCTTTGTCTTTGCTGTCAGGATAACACAGTGAGTTGGGAAGTATTCCCTCTCTTCTATTTTCTGAAGAGATTATGTAGAATTAGTGCTATTTCTTCTTTAAAGAATTGGTATAATTCTTTAGTGAAATCATCTGAGCCTGGGATTTTCATTTTCTGGAGTATTTTTAAATTATGAATTTAATTACTTTAATAATTATAAGGCTAGTCAGATTATTTCATATTGAGTGAATTTTGGTAGTTTGAGCTTTTAGAATAATTGATCCATTTCATCTAACTTCCAAATTTGTGTGTGTAGAGTTGTTTGAGGTATTCCCTTATCCTTTACATGTCTACAGGGTCAGTATTAATATCCCCTTTTTCATTCCAATATTGGTAATTTGTGTCTTTCCCTTTTTCTTTGTCAGTCTTGCTAGAGGCTTGTCAATTTTATTGTTTTGTCAAATGAATACCTTTTCCCCATTGGATTTCACTTTTTTTTTTCTGTTTTCAATATCAATATCTGTTCTTTATATTCCCTTCCTTCTGTTTGCTTTAGGTTTATTTTGCTCTTCTTTTTCTTGGTTCATTAGGTGGAAATTTGTATTATTGATTTTAGACTTTTCCTCATTTCTATTGTAGGTGTTTAGTGCTATAAATTAACCTCTCAGCACAGCTTTACCCTTGTCCCACAAATTTTGATATATTGTATTTTCATTTTCATTCAGTTTAATGTATTTTTAAAATTTCTCGTGAGACCTCTTTTTTGACTCATGAATTTTGTGTGTGTGTGAGGAAGATCAGCCCTGAGCTAACATCTGATGCCAATCCTCCTCTTTTTTTTTTTCTTGCTGAGGAAGATTGGCCCTGGGCTAGCATCTGTGCCAGTCTTCCTCTACTTTATATGGGACACTGCCACAGCATGGCTTGACAAACGGTGCATCAGTGCACGCCCGGGATCCAAACCTGCAAACACCGGGCCGCCGAGACAGAGTGTGCATGCTTAACTGCTGTTCCACCGGGCCGGCCCTGACTCATGAATTTTTTTAAAGTGTGTTGTTTAGTTTCCAAGTGTTTGGAGATTTTCATGTTATCATTCTGTTATTGTTTCCTAATTTGATTCCATTATAGTCAGAGAAAACACCATGTATTATTTCAATTCTTTTAAATTTTTGTGGATTGTTTTATAATCCAGAATATCTCTATCTTGGTATATATTCCTTGGGTAATTGAAAAGAATGTAAACCTTACTGTTTTTTGGTGGAATGTTCTATGTCAGTTAGATCCTGTTGGATGATGGTGTTGTTGAATTCTTCTATATCTTGCTGATTTGCTATCTAGTTGATCTATCACTTGTTGAGAGAGGATGTTGAAGTCTCCACAATAAATGTGAATTTTTCTATTTCTCTTTTCAGTTATTTTAATTTTTGTTTAATATATCATGTAGCTCTGTTGTTTGGTGCATACACATTTAGTCTTCTTGGTGAGTTGACCCTTTTATCATTATGTTATGTCCCTCTCTGTCTCTGGTAAGTTTCTTTGTTCTGAATTTTACTTTATCTGATTTTACTAGAGCCACTTCTTATACTTTTTTTATTAATGTTTGTATGGTATACCTTTTTCCATCCTTTTACACCTGCCCATATGATTATATTTGAGGTGAGCAGGCATGTCCCCATGTTTGCAGACAGCATACAGTTGGGTCACGTTTTTTTGTCCACTCTGTCTTTTAAGAGGTATCCCATCTCTGAGATAGACCCATCTCTGTCTTTTAAGTGGTATATTTGGATCATTTTCACCTAATGTATTTATTGATAAGTTAGTGCTGAATTCTACCAACTTATTTTTATTTTCTGTTTGTTCTCTAGTTTTGTTTCTCTATTTTCTTTTTCCTAACTTCCTGTTGGTTACTTGAACATTTTGTAGAATGCCATTTGATGATTCATGCATAGCATTTTTGTGTGTATCTTTTTGTATGCCCTTTTTAGTGGTTGCTTTAAGTGTTACATCATATATACATAACCTATAACTGTCTACTGGTGTTAGCATTTTACCAGTTCAAGTGAAGTATAGAAACCTTACCTCTCTTCCCACCCCCTTACCTTCCTCTCTTTATAATGTAATTGTATTAAATATTTCTTCCACATACATTTAGAACCACAGCATGCAATGTTATAATTGGTGCTTTAACCATCAAACATAATTTAGAAAACTTGAGAGGAGAAAGAAAGTCTATTATATTTACCCATATTTTTCTCTTTCCATTGCTTTCTTCCTTGATGATGTCCAAAATTCCTTCTTTTGTCATTTCCTTTCTGTTTAGAGAACTTCCTTTAGCCATTCTCTTAGGAGAGGTCTGTTGTTAAGAAATCCTCTTAGTTTTCCTTCATCTGAGAATATCTTGATTCCCCTTCCATAGCTGAAGCATATTTTCACTGAGTATAGGATTCTGCATTGACAGTTCTCTTATTTCCGCACTTATTTAGATCTTCTGTTTTAGCTGACTTCCTCTGACAATGCTCTGGCAGGGCAGCGGGAGAGTACCATCTCATTTCTGCCATGGGGGTATAGAAGTCCAGGATCCCCACTCAGCCATCATTGACACCAGACTGGTTGGGGCTCCTCATTACTGCTGGGCAGTGGTGATAGTTCCAGCTACCCACTAGGCTTCCACTGATACCTCCATGGTTGGGATGAGTAGGAATGCCTCATCACTGTTCCCTATGTGACCTCTACTGACATTGGCAGGGGTGGGATGTGGACTCACTGCTGTGCAGGGGCAAATGTCCTGACTCTCTATTAGGACTCCTCTGACACCACCCTAATGGGGACAGGGAGAAATGGATTGTTACTGCCAGGTGGGGATAGAGTCTAGGCCCCCACTTGGCTTTAGTTGATGGTACTGGGCAAAACCACACTTTTTTCTGTGGTGTTTAGCTGAATTAAAGTGGTTCTTTTCTTCTGTTTTTTTTTTTTTTTTTTGAGTGGGTCTTGTCTAAAAGTTTTCTGTCTTGGTAGGCTGCCCCTTTCCTGGTCCTGGTCCTTTAGCTAAAGAGAGCAGGCTTTAATTAGGTCATTATTGTCTGTGCCCATTGGCATTTTGGGTTGTCAGCTTCTTCAGGTCCATGTCCAGGATCTGTGAGGCAAAAAGAAAACCCAGGGAACTCATCACCGCATTGTTCCTGAGGTCCCAACGTCCCTATCCAGCCTACCTTCTTCTCTCCATCTTTCAGGGTCTCTTTATGTCTGTTTTATATATATTGTCTAGAGGTTTTAGTTGTACTCAGTGGGAGAATGGGAAAAGCACTTCTCTATTTTTCCAGAGGCAGAAGTCTGGACATTGAAATTTTAGAGCCCAATTCTGTACTTCCAAGGAGATTTATGAGCTCCTCTCATATATGAATGCCTTAGCAGAGCTCTTATTTCATATGCACATCACAAAAAACAAAAAGAAATGAACCAAAACAAAATGAAAAAAAAAAACAGCTTTATGTGGGTTTGTGCATGTCTACTCAACCCACATGGAGGGCGTACATTGGGGTAGCCACGATCACAGCCTGCTCAGTTAGTTTTTTGTAAACCAGTGCACTGGGGTTTCATGAGCCCTTTCCAGCATCCATTGCGTCCTTCCACTGACTGTCAGGGTGTGAACTGTTAGCTCACTTGGCTGGGTGCTAAGAGGGCCAGAATTGAGAGCTGCCCCTTCTGTGGGCCATAAGGCCTACTCTAGTAGAGCTGAAGGGGCCGTAAGCCATCACCTGATCCAACCGCCATGGTTTTCATATAAGAAAACTGTATCAGAGAGCAGAAGACCCTTTCCACAGATCTCACTGCATACCACACAAAAGCAAAGCCAGACCTAGGACACACATTCCTTGCCTTTAAGCCCAGTGTTATTTTAGTTACATCAGGCTGCTTCTCCACCCATCCCTCAGCTCCCCGGTGAACTTTGCTCTGCCCCATGGCCAGGGACTGCCATCTCATCCCAGCCAACTGCCTTGCAGAAGTGCCCCTCATCCCTGGTGGTGGGAGGGGCTCAATGAGGGTGGTGGGATGGGGAGACAGACAGGAAAAGGAATGTGGCTGACTCCGCCCAAACTTGTCCTCAGAGTGAAAGTCTGTGATTCACGGGGTCAATGGTCTCATCTTCATATCTGAAAGACAGTGTACTTTTTGTCTCCCTAAGCCCTGTGTCTAGGTCGTTTGGGAAGCGCCTTGGAGAGTCAAGAATAAAATTGCAGGTCAAACAATGGATGACTGGAAAAGTCGGCTTGTAATCAAGAGCATGCTTCCCCATTTCGCCATGGTGGGAAATCGTCAGGAGCCCAGAAAGCTCCAGGAATCGGTCAGACAATGGGCTGTTGGGGGGAGGGGGGTGTTGAATGCTTCTAATCTTAAACTTGAACGTAAGATGTGTTATTGAAATTCTCTTTGCAAACTTGGTGACAGGGAACCAACTCAAAATGTAAGGAACTAGAATCTGATCTAGAAAAGATCTAGAAGATGAGCTAACCTTGCCCCTTGTGAGTTTCTGGAAGAGCAGGAAATACAGTCCAAGACTCCATCTGGATTCCAAGTCCAGCAATCTCTGCACTACGTCCTTTCAACTAGAAATAGAGGAAGAGTGAGAGGGAAGAAAAGCCTAATTTTTCTCTTAATAGAAACCAGGAATGTGGGAATGCCAGGCACTAGATGCATTGCATTAATTTCCTAGTACCACTGAGAGCAGGAAGCCAGTGAGGACGGCACAGAGATTCCCATTCAACTATGGCCCTGGTATCCTTTTAAAAACTCATTTGACAAATTTCTCCTTTTCTCCCTTGGAACCCAGACATCATTCGTATGTCTGAAATGCAGAGTTAGGGATTCCAGTGGTAGTTCTAGGAGCCAGGATGATAGAAGGACCATGAGAGCCATTGATTAGTTGAATTTGATGATAAAAGCCTGCAACATTGCCAATCTACCAAGATTAGCTTGGTTAGTAGGAGTTGCCTCAAACACAATGGCTGTTATCTCAGGGTATTAGGTCCTCAGAGGAGTGGCTTGCTTAATCTCTGAAATTAATAGAGCAAAGAGGAAAGGGCTCTTAGAGAGCTGTGGGTCTGCTCCCTTCCTGTTCAGAGACCTGGAAGCTCGAGGCTCTGAGGTAATGTCATTTCACATAACTAGAGGGCCTGGCTTCTCCAATTCCAAGGGCAATCCACTTTCGGGAAGTCAGCTTTCTATTTAGGTTAGGGTTATGATATGTGGACAGGTGTGGGGGAGATTGTTGAAACCTTGCTTCTCTTGTTTTCCTCCTTGTCTACCACCAACAATGTCTTGAGAATGTAGTACAAGTTGTAGACATTTACACAACTTTGTTTACTGGAGTTCCAGCTCTCACAGAGATGGCAGTCAGATGGGATGGCAGAGATGGAGCAATTAGTTGGCCAGTGGCCTCTCCTCCAAATTGCCAGCCCTTCCGTCAGGCATCTTCTAGAAGGAAATCTCTAACCTCCATCGTAATTACCCTTTTGTTTCTTGCTTCTGTTTTATGGTTAACAACTGAGTCAGTGAAGGAAAACTTGTTGGCAATGCATCCAGAGGCCACGATCAGTTTTGGCATGCCTTTCAGTTTCTCCTTTATTTCACATGTGTTTCCATTCCTAGGAGGGAAGAGTGGTGGGTTGTAGTCGCAGGGAGCCTGTTCCCCTTCTCATGCACCCCACCAGCATCCTTTTAAAAAGTGTGACTTGGGCTCAGCCCCATGGCCTAGTGGTTAAGTTCGGCATGCTCCACTTTGGCAGCCCAGGTGCATTTCCCGGGTGTGGACCTACACCACTCATCAGCGGCCATGCTGTGGCAGTGACCAACATACAGAATAGAGGAAGATGGGCCACAGATGTTAGCTCAGGGTGAATCTTCCTCAGCAAAAAAAAAAAAAAAAAAGTGTGACTAGTAAGTAACTGCTTTGATTTTGATCAGTGTAGACCTCAATGCCTGAAGGACTTTTCTTAGAACAGGGCCTTGGAGTGGCCATCCATGCCCTCACTCTGGAGAAGTTGCCATTGCTCATGCCATTTCTGGGCTTGGCTTCTCTTTGCAGATGGCCTTTAGAGCCCTTTGCAAGCCTTGCCAAAAATTCACATTCATTGCTTTAGAGTCACACCTTGGACTTGATCAAAATCAGCCCTTCTCCCTCCTCCATGGCACACCTTGTTCTCTGCCCTTGGCTCTGAGTGACCTGACTGTTTCTGAAACTCCAAGCTGTCTTAGAAGACCAAGGATTTGCCCCAGTTGAGGGGATCCAAAAAATATGCCCCAGGCTCCAAAAGTAACTCTCTCAGATGAGTCCTCCTCACAGTAAAAACCACATTTCTCTTCTTGGAAGATGCATATCGTCTCTAAAGGGGATGGCATTGAAGGAGCCCACTGCTTTGGCTGGGCCTGACAGGTATGCATGGAGCCTGACCAAGTCAGGCACTGCTGCTACCATTAGCCAGCAGCCAAGGAAGCTCGTAGTTTGAGCACAGCTGTATTTTCACAGCTTGTCAATTCCTGCAGCCTCAGGAAGATAGCCGGTGCTAACACGGAGGTCTACTGCACACACTGAGGATCTCAACAGCCGGGTGTTTGCTGAGGGACAGAGCTAGACAAATTAAAGCAGAATGGCCTGTCAGTTCACCATGAAACCTGCTGTCCAAACAAGTTATTGCAGGGCCCAGAATGCGGGCAGCAAAAAGAGGTCCTTTGCAGGAGCTGGGCTTGCACTTCCTGGGTGTGGCCTGAACTGGATCACAGCAGTTTCTGTCACTTACTCTCCCTCTGACGCTTCATAACATACAGGGATGATACCCTGCACTCCAGTCCAAGGAGCCTGTGTGCATCTGGAAGCACATGTCTTGCACCACTCTCTCTTGTCCTGCAAGCATCTTTAACATGGAGATCTGATTCAGACATTCAGCTTACCTGGTTCTCTTGTCCTTTCCCCAAAAACAAAATAACAAAAAAAACATATTTCAAGTCAAGGTCTTGAAACCTTTATTATATCAAGGTCTTGATATAATAAAATTATATCAGTCCCAAAGGAGAGTTCTTTTAAACAGCCATGGGATTTCCATGTGAATAATTGAGAGCCTGCTTGCAGGAAAATGTGCATGTGATGTGATGATTGTTCTTGGCCTAAGACCAGGGCTCAAGACACCTAGATTCTGGTTTTGCTTCTGGTCCTAACTAGCTATGGGGCTTTTTCCATCCGTTGTCCTCCCTGAGGACAGAAGTCAACTGAAGCAGGAGTAAGAATAGCCACCTTTAGTTGAGCATCGACCAGGTGCCAGGCACTCGCTAGACATTTGGGAAGCATTATCTCCTGTAATCCTAAGGATAACCCTGAGATGAAGAGGCTATCTCCAGGAAACTGAACCTCAGAGAGGTTAAGCAACTTGGTCAAAGTCACAGAGCTAAGAAGTGGCAGGGCTTAGAGCCTGCTGTCATCACCGCTGTCATCTGCTGCCTCTTAGATCTGAAGCATGTTGAAAACTACAGAGCACTGAGCACATATCAGGCAGCAGTCATCATCACAAGAAATCTCAGTGATGCAAGTACCTTTTCAGCATTTGTCCATTCACTCAGCAGCATGATTGCTTAATGACGCTTGTGATCTTGAGAAAAGAGGAGTTTTACCTTTTGAACATTTGAGCATCCACCCAAGGTTAATAAGGCATCCAGTCTGCAGTTAGTGTATGGAGTTTCAACTGGAGGGAGAACATTTGGTCCTTCCCTTTGAAGTTAAGATCGCCATTCCTCCCCCAGATTAGTGGGTCGATTGATTACTGGTGCGAGAATCTCTAAAACATTAGCGCTCCAAATGGGAGTGCTCTGGAGCCTGCATGGAATTGGAACTCGGTGTCCACGTCATATGTCATCTCTGTTTCAGTCCACACCACACCACGAGTTGCAAAGATTCCTTAGCTCTGCAATCACCTATTCTGTTCATAAGGCAGCTCCAGACAAAATGAGGGTGTTAAGGGCATTAGACATATAGTTGGAGAAGGAAGGAGATACTGTGCTCATCACTCATCTTCTGTGTTTCATCATTTCATGATAATAAATGGCTTACTCTGTAGGTTACAGTGAATTGGCCTGCCCAGTATTCCTTTTGAGCTTCCCAATTCTTCTCTCTCTTTATGGATGAGGACACTAAGGTCTGAGGAATCCAGTGACTTGCAGAAAAATGCCCATCAAGAAGGTGGGGAACTACATCAAGGGTACCCATTTAGGTGGCCTCAAGTGTAGCCTGCTTTCCACTCACAGTATGACCAAAACCAACCCCTCACTCCTTCTCACCTCTAAAGGCAAGTGGGACTGCCGACGGGGGAGAGAAGAGCTCTGAGTTGAACAGGGAATGCGGAGATTTGGATGGCTACAAAAATACTGGTCCTGTTCTTTTTGGCCCTCTTCTTTAGACTGGGCACCTTAGAAATATCTGGTTGGAGGAGGTCTCTTCACACAGGTTTAGGATTTGTACCCATCATTCTCAGAGGCACATGCTTTTCCTTGCAGAAAGAGCACAAGGCTCAGTAAGGAGACCTCAGATTTGATCCCAGGGCTGTAATTAGTGCTTTGTGAGACTTTGAGCAAGTCCCTTTCCTCTTGAGGTCAGAGGGCCTGTCTATCTCTGGCCTTCTGCCACATTTTTGGGCTCCATCCTTTGTGCCCAGCCCTGTGCTAGACCCTGGGCTAAAGCAGCTCAGAGCCAACGAGCCAACTATTACCAGGCTTCCTCCACTGGGAATCAATCTCTCCTACTCTGTAGTTCTACTTGTCCTACTCTGAAACCAGGGGCAGAGAATGGTTGAGTGGCTCTCTTGTGCGAGCTACTTTGTATTTGTTAGCTCATCTACTCCTGTGACACGGAGGTTAATATTCCACTTCACCAGTGAGGAGACTGAGGCTCAGAAGGATGGGAACTTTTTCCCGATGTTGCACAGTCAGTAGGTTGGAAATTCAAATCTCAAAGCTAGGTTCCTGACTGAAGCTTCCCAGATTAGGAGCTCAGATAGTTAGGGCCTTTTGTAGGCCAGGCAGGACTCTGGAGGCTCAGGCTAGAGCAGTGGACAAAACAGAGTCCCAGATTGCCTGAAGAATTCATTCTGGTGGCAGAGACAGCACACAAACAGAGAAAGAGTGGAAGCATCTTTACTTCATCCTGGTGGCTCCCTGGAACCTTCCGGCCAGCATCATCCACTGCCTAGCCTGTGGGCAGCAAGCCAGGCTGATTAAAAACCCCACAGGTATATGAGGGACAGCCAGCTGAGCCAGGGCCGAGTTGCCTAAACCCTCTCAGAAGCCTGGAGAGGAAGCCCA